ACCGGAAATTAACGTGCAACGGCGGACTGAACTGGATTAAACCAGATTACGCGCCGACCTAATTAGCCCACGCGGCGAGCACAGCCAGGAACGGAGAAATCAGCGTAGTTTTGCCCACAGACCGCCACAGCAGCAGCCAGCCGAGCCGGTGCCCGCCGTTGCGGCGGCGCAGGTCCCCGGCAGTCGATTTTTTTCCCCGAGCGCGTGCAAATGACGTCATCCGGCTTCCCGCTTGCCATGATGCTTTGCGTGTTGGGATAAGCATTGACTAGACGTGGTTTGTTAGGCCCGCCGTCACAACAAGGGGATGAAAGACGAGGCACACAAGGCCAGTTGGGTGGATATTACTACTGTAGACATGTACTGCACACTGTAGACACCCGCTCGCCAAATTGTCCTTTGCGCTCGCAGGTTCTAACGTCTGGACGTCCAAGAACTATGCAACCAAATAACCCAATCTGTGTAATAATAAGGCTACATATGCATATGAAACGTCACGAAAACTATCATTTCAGACAATAAATGCCTTGAAAGGATGTGGACCATTTACATGGAACTGTCGCTCAGTAAAACCGCAGATCTCGCTTAACTTGTTTTCCGACGAATGCAGACGACTCGTTTTGTTTCCTTTTTCTTATTTTTCCTGTTCGTCAAGCCTCTGCTCTTGTTGCTTCTGCAACCCCAGACCGAGCCCAGGCCGCCATCGCGCTGACCACCCCGTCCCTCGGCAGGTACCGCCTGGCCGACTTGCTCGTCAACGACAACATCGTCATCGTCGACACCAGTCCGCCGTCACCCGACCCCGACGCCGACGACGTCGACGACGACGACGACGAAGCGGGCGGGACGGGCGCCGTCGACAGCGGCGAGCTGCCGGCGCCGCTGACAGTGCGCCGCGTGGCCGACCGCTTCGAGCAGCTGGCGCGCGCCGAACCCGACAGCTACGTTCTGTGGCGCGACACGGCCCGGCTCTCCGGCATCCGCGCCAACCCGAGCAGCAAGATCTTGCGCTCGGACGCCGGCGCCGGCGCCAGCGCCGGCAACCCGGACGTCTGCCACCGGCTCTTCCAGCAGGAGCTGCACGAGCTATTCCGCGTGCGGCGCGCCGCCTCCGACGGCGCCGGCGACCGGCCTCCGGCTCGTCCGACGCCGACGAGGGCGGCGACGACGGCGGCGACGCGGCTGACGGCGACTCGCTCTTCTCCTCCGACGCTAGCAGCGGCGTTGATGGCGGCGTCGGCGTCGACGGCGGCGTGCGCACCATCACCCCTGAAGCTTTGGCGAGGATCCGGCGCCAGGGCATGACCATGACCTATCACGGGCCGCGTGGCGCGGCGGCGCGGCCCAGCCTGGGCCAGCACGTGGCCGCCGCGCGCCGGCAGCCGGCCTACGTCGCCGTGGCGTCGCCGGCGCCGCGCGTGGTGGCAGCCTTTCCCAAGTGCGGCGCGTCGCGTTGTCACACGCTGCCGACGCAGAGGAGCGCGCCGATGCTCCTCACGGGAGCCGGAGGAGGCGGAGGAGGAGGGGCGCCGGCGCTGGCCGAGGTGCGCGCGGCGACGCTGCGGCCGCGGCCGCCGCCGCCGCCGGCCGACGCCGCGGGCTGGCGAGAAACGGGCCGCTGCTATGTGTACGACTTCAGCCACAGTCGCAGCCGCCGGCCCCCGCCGCTGCAGGTGCGCCCGCCGCCCGTCTAGGCCACTACGTCATGAGCTAGGTCCAGAACTAGGTCCGTACCGCACGTCTGGGTCACAAGGTCCCGACCAAGGCCCTGAGCCAGTCCAGAACTTGATCCGTGTCGCTTGTCTAGGTCAATAAGTCATGACCTAGGATGGGACCGCCGGCTGGGCCAGCGGCTGGGGCAAACTCTGCTGCCGCACGCCACCGTCGGACTCACACCGAGCCGATGTGCCAGAACGCAGTGACGCGGCGGGGTGACGCAGCACGTGTGGTCGTGCGCGTGACGGGTGACAACGTGACCCGCCCCGAGACAGTGACGTGACGCGTGACGCTGGCGGTCGGACGGGGCTCGCCAGGCGAACCCCGCGTGGTTCACGAGGTGAACCGACGCGGTTGCCGAGGCGAGCCGGCCTGGTTCAGCAGGTGAACCGACGTGGTCCACGCGGGGATCCCATGTGCTCGGCGAGGTGACCGGCGGTTCATGAACTGATCCGACGCGGTGACCGGGCATAGGTCACAGGCGAGGCGGCACAGGGCAGGCGCCGGGGAAGAGAGAGAGAGAGGGGGGGGGGGGCGGGCACGACCACAAGAACCGAACGGAGTCAGACGCTGACCGGAGGAGGCGCATCGGAGGTCCACGGCCCAGGGCACCGCCCAGGACCCAGGGGGAACAACCCCAAGGCAACCAAGGACAGGAACAACGTGTCCTCGCAATGCGGCGATCGTCGAGAGGCTGCCCACAGCACGGGGCCGACCGACCGACGCGAGTGCCAGCGCTTACGCGCGCGCGTGTGTGACCCGAACAAACCGGCGTGAGCGAATCGGCAGTGAGCGTCCCCGTTCAGCATCGACGGTCACATCGAACGGCTCGTGCAGCACAGTCCGCGAATGCAGGGAGGACTGCGAGGACAACGTGCTTCGCCAGCCAGGCCGCTTCCCGCTGTGTAGCCGCGCTTAGTCAATATCGACAAACTACGTCCGCGTCACGTCACACATCGTCACGAACGTGACGTCACGTCACGTCGTGACGGAGCGTGACGACGGGCGCTACGGGTTGGCCTTCGTGCCCACCCAGCAAATGCGTGATAGTGTGCGAGGGATAGCGCGTGACTTAGCGAGTGATGGTAGGACGACTGGTTCTAAACAGTCCCGTTTTGTGACTGGCCCATACCTAACGCGCCCGCTACCAGTGCGTCAATCGGTACCGAAGCTTTAGCCCGCTCTGGCTGGAACGCAAACGGGATTTGCGTGTCCATTTTCTGCATGCAACGCCATGGCATCGGGGTGCGGATCGCATGAAAAGGCCGCTGGCGGAGTCCCCGCCCCATCCCGCCAGGTCGGCCGCGCCACCGTGTCAGTCATGGAGCGCTGGAGCCCCTCTAGGCGGCCGGCGGGACGCCTAGAGGGGCGCTGGCGGCCGACGTCGACCCTCCGCCGACCGACCCTCCGACCGACCGAGGTCGACCGACCCTCCGCCGGGTCACAGGTCACACGGTGAGGCCCGACTGTCGGAAGGCGTGAAGGATGGCGAGCGGCCACGGTCAATGTGTATAATAGTGTGACTTGATGTGATATAATACAAGCATAAGCATTTCATTCTTTTGAATGGATGCGTGCCAGTTAACAACATCAATTACAATGATAATAATAATAATAATAATAATAATAAACTAATACTACTACTACTACTAATAATAAAATAATAACAATAATAGTAATAATAATAATAATAATAGCATTAATTATGGACTACGTCCTACGCATAGATGATGACGATCACG